ATGCCTTGAATTGATACAAATCAGGCAAGATACGACGTTTTCCAGCTATATGATTTCTGCAGAACACAGCCATAAGACTTCTGCCCTACACTAAGACACTTTCCAATGGCCTTCCCTTCACCAATAGCTGATCAGTATGTATACACCAGAGTAGAGGACATCTTCACGTTTCCTAGCTCTACGTTTTTATTTTAACCTGGCTAGAAAATATGCCGTCCCCAACAAAACAAGCCGAGTTAGACCGGTAGCCATTTATATCCGACTAGTAATCCCTGTTGAGCCCAGCTTAGCCATTTAAGCCTTCTATATAAAAATTATTATTTTGTTAACCTTGTTTACAATGTTCTTGGTTCACATTCAGCAAGGATGTTTTTATTACCTCGGTTGATTGATTAGCTAACCAAGATTGATTTGTGTATTTGTGACCGGCCTGAGCTGAGGGTGTATATGTATGAATTAGTTTTCACAAAATAAAAGCCTCGGGGTTCTGGAGATTAGGTCTTTTCCGTAAAAAGGTTTTTTAAACAAGTTAATTATATTCATGATTCAACCTAATCAATTATTGGGAAGAGGAAGCGAGAACTGCAGCTGATGTATTCTAAATAAACATTTCCGACGATAAATTTAGAGGGGTGGCAGTAGATTGAGCTGGAGACATTTTTCGCAGAGGCAGCAACAGTGAATAAGCAGATAATGGTTCCTTTGTATCTCTTCCGAACCTTTACCAAGCACGAGAAGGATGTGACCAACTCGTCAGTTTAAATTTCAGAGGCCCTCAGAGAAGGATAAGACAGATTCTGGGGTTCAGGTGGTTGTTTTGAATATTATTACGCGTTGGAACAACCTTTGATATCAACTGAATATTTGTACTTAAGCGGATTTATAAGCACAAAGAGTGATTGGACAAGCAACAAGATTTCTTATCCATCCAGCTACTGTGGTAAAATGCAGGAGTTGGATGAAAAAACCGGCCGTAGGCGATAAGGTGCAGGCATATCCTGGATTGTTTACAAACGAAAAATAAATATCTTGTTACACAAACGTAGACCAGATAATCAAAAGACGACGCGGTAACGCACACATTCTCCCGACCTATTCGCATAAAAAAGTCTGCGTCACCACCATGACATTCTACAACAACGCACATATTGTCGCTTTTATAAACTCCGGCCCCTATTATTTATTGCTAAACGCTCTTGACAGCGTTAAATCTTAATCATCAAACGGTTTTACCACTCCACCTTACCCACCGATGCTGTAAACAGGGCCGAGCTTAGAGCTCGCGATTTATAATACACTTAGGCGGTGTGGGCAACCTTTGCCGATATTTACTCTCATTTTCCCTTGAGGGACCATCTGACAAACAATTCATCTGAATGTGTAAACCTGATCACTATCGTTTGGGATAATGCCATAAGGTCCATTTGGACTAACCCGACAGTGCAGATGACTGTCCTTGATTCGCATCGAAAATCTGAGCCGATTCCTGCTGGATCCGTTTGTACATTCATTTTGTAGGTAATCACTCACCTCTTCTTGCTACTCTCAGAGTTATGACTATAGTATACATTCCCAACGAATCTTTCTCTGTCCATCCCGTTGTAGCACACCCGGACTCACGAATACGAGGCTCCCCAAACTATCTCGCCAGATGCTTTATCTCGCGCCATCGTCGAAGACGTGGACCAACAGGGCAGTGTTGAGACACTCAGTACATCAGGTCTGCATGAAGCGGAAGTCACTCCAACTACTCTTCAGTCACCGCCACCGCAGCCCCCGGAATTGCGCTGGCGAGAACAGCTAATACAACTGCAAGAGATGGGCGTCGCAGATACGCTGATGGCGGTCCAGGCTCTAGAGGCAACAAATGGAGACATTTCACTGGCACTGAACATTCTGTTCAATTAACACCACTTTCTCTATGCCACAGCCAAACATCCATGTTTCCTCTCATCGAAATGAGATAAATTATCATTTGTTAATCCTGCCTCGGGTGAATTCATTGTGGTTAGGCGGGAAACGTGGACTTATCAAGCCAAAAAATGTACACATCTAACATTTAATATAATGGACCAATTACTCAGTTCCAGAGTGAAGTGGGTTATGTTTGGGGTCGAGTTTTCTCGGCTTCCCTAGACCCAGTTTTGTCTTTATCATAGTGGACATGCCAAGGCCAGCATCTAAGATAGCGTTGAAAAATAAACGAAGGTCTACTTTAAAAGTCTTTTTGCGTTGCCTTTTGTCAAATCTTTATGGGCTTACAGTAAGAACTCGGGCTTGAGTCGTCTGATAATCAGCAATGTCAAGTTTATATCGCACGCCTTATG